TTAATATATTTTCTTTTAGCATTTTCTTAGACTAATTAATAATGAATGGAATTAATTCTTTAAATTTAGAAATATAATACTGCATTAATTTGATTTAAGTGATTACATAGGATACTAGAGAATTAATGTCATATATATAATTTTGAAAAAGCAAAAATAATAATAATAAAAGAAAAAAGGTGTATCTCGTGTGAAAGGGATGGGATGATAATAATATTTGGTGAGCCCTAGTCACTATTTTTTAATGATTTATAAATCAAGATGAAATTTGAAAATTTTAGCCAAAAAAATAAATAAATTGTCCCATCAAAATATTAATTGGACCTTGTAGGTCAACTTTTGATGTCATGATTCTATTCGTGTCAAATAAATGTCTTTTTCGTACTAAAATTAAGATATTTCAATTAATCCAAATTAACTTTTACTTTTTAGCAATCTCCTAATTAGGATCATTATATATTCCGTTTAGCTTACCTAATTAAAAGTAGTTATCAACATTAGAGCTGTCAATATGGGCTAGGCCACCCCATCCGAGCTAACCCATACAAGCTTTGACATTTTACGGGTCAGGTCGGGCTAGCCCATTTTTTGTAAGGGCCAAAAAATGGTCGGCCCAGCCCACAAGTATGTGGGCTACAGGCTTGACGGGTCAGCCTATTTTTTAAAAAATTATATTTTTTTATAATTATTAAATTAAATTATAAATTATAATTTAAAAATATTATTATAAATATCGACAAAATAATATTACATTATGTTAGGTCTCATTTGTTTGCACTTAATGAGATTTGAATCTTAATCATTCAGATTTGCCTCATTAAGTGTGTTTGTTTTTAAGAACTGAATCATAATTATTCAAATTCAATTCATTAAGTTCGTTTGTTTTATTTTTTTATAAGTCTCTTAATGGGTCCGGATATATCTAAATTTACTTTTAGCAATCTCCTAATTAGGATCATTATATATTCTGTTTAGCTTACCAAATTAAAAGTAGTTATCAACATATTTAATATTAAACTTGAAGTATTGAAAATATTTTAATAAAAATAAGTATTTATATATTTTTTATATACAATGATTTTGTGGCTTATTTCTAATTTAGTATTGGGTGGTTAGCTATTGCTAGGTTGACAAATTTCAAGAGGTAATCCATTGAACATCATTTATCCAAATTTAAAATATTATATTATACGTATTAAATAAATAATATTGTATATATAAATTTATTTAAACGTTTTTACGTGACACATTTTTATTTTTTTATCAGTATTATTTTTTTTAAATGTTTGATAGTAATTTAATTATAAAATGTTCATTTTATGTAGATTGAGATGATTTATCACCACAAACATTTATGAATATTTTTAAATCATAAATTTCATAAATTGTTTTTTTAATGTAAAATCAAACAACAACATATAAATTAAAGCGAAAAAAATATTAATTACTTAACTCGTTTTTGGCTGATCGTAAGTCCTAATCTGATAGTGAAGCTTTTAGAATTCGCATAAATAAGTTAAAACATTGATATGTCCCTTTTGTTTGTTTGTCCTAATTGTCCATTACTGAGATTTCTCCAATTAATTAAAATATTTAAATTTTGGGATTGTTTTTAATTAGTTAAATTTAACAAAATGGGCTGTAACTTAAAAAATGTGGATAATCTGGATTTGAATTTATATGATATAATATATAAATAAGATAATATTCAGAAATTTGACAATAAAGTAGGCAGAAAACTACGCGATTAGGAACTAGAGCTAGTATATGTACGTTATGGATTCAATCAAATTAATATCAAAATCAGCAAATTAAAAATGAATTTAGGTAAATCGTATGTTTAGATGGGTAATTAACTATTTACGGATCTAAATCTTTTGTTCATCTTGTTCACAAAGTGTATAAATTGCGTATATTTCATACTAAATACATGTATAATATACATATACAACTATATATACTAGTGTATATATTACCTTTTTTTTTGGGTGCAAATATTCATCTTTAATTTTTGCATTGGTCAACTTAGACAGTCTTATATAGTATACATTGTCAGTTAATTTATTAAAACATATTTATTTATATGTACTTGTGATGGATTGTCAAAGTATTTTGTTAAGAAAAATTGCGACATATTAGGTAGTCGATGTCCCTACAACTTCAACTAGTACATATTCTTCTACTATATATGTTTGAACTCGAATCTTCCTTCCTATAACCAACGAGGGTGAATCCGGGCCGTGAGCGTGGTAAAAATGGGCTTTTCGATTCTCAAGAAGCCAATTTAGGCAGAGATAATGAAGGGAACGGTTCTAATTTTGTGTTGAATGTCTTTAACAATTTATTGAGTTATGAGTGAAAAAAGGGTAGATGTAGAAACTCGAGTCGAAAATGTGATTAAGAATTGAAATATTTGTGAATTTTAAATATCACTATACATTATATTGAAGTATGATATATTTAAGTACATATATGATACTATTATTTAATGTAATTTTACCAAAAGTTAATTAATTAATTATATTGAACAACAACAATAATTTCTTTTCGGGAACAATTATATAAGTTTCACCTTTTAGTTTACTTATTATCATTATTCCCTCTAAGTTTTACAAATTTTCAAAATCCCTTATCTTTTTTTTAAGTCAAAAATGTCATTAATGTATCCGACCCTCTTTTAATATATTAGCGCATGTATCTGACCCTTTTTTTAATGTATTAGCGCTTTGATTTTTTTGCCATTAATGTATCCAGATCCTCCATTAATGTATCTGACCCTCTTTTTAATGTATTAGGGTGCATGTATCTCACCTATTTTTAATGCATCAGCACTTTGATTTTTTGGCCATTAATGTATCCGATCCTCTTTTTAATATATCAACGCTCATATCATTGTATCCATTTGAGGAATTCCTATAATTATAAACTTTTGAGAAATATATTATAATTTTTTCTTAAAAGTATGTGATTTCTATAATTTATCATTCTTTTTTATTATAAGATAGGAAAATCGTGTATACAAGGAGTGTATCAAAAGTAGAAAAACTTTACACCAAAATATGATTCTCTAACAAACGCATGGGTATACTGAAAGAAACTAGAGATTAGAGGTTACTCCTAACATGTACAAAATCAACACTACAAGAAAATTGTGAATTATACGGAGATTTTCCTATAAATTAGTATGAAAATTTATAAAAAAACAAATTTTCTGTGAATTTTCATATTAATTCCTACGAAAATCCTCATGTAATTCATAGCTTTTTTTGTAGTGCATACTATTGTTAATCCATAAGAAAAAACTTAAAAATCGGCATGACCTTGATTTCAATATCTTTATCGAAGTGATAAATTTTGAAGATACGATTCTCTAGATCCCCTCAAACACTTTTCTATGCAAAATAATTTCCCATCCCAAGTACCATAAGTAAGATGATACCTAATATGACATTAAACTTTCAAGTTTTTTACATTCAACAAAAATAAAAATAAAAATAATAATAATAATAATATACATATATATATGTGTGTGTGTGTAAGTAATCACTAGCATCATTTTTTGTGTATCAAGACAAAAAAACTTTGCATTAACAAGTCATTGAAAGCAAATTAAATAACATTTCTGTGACATAACTTAATTCTTATCAAACTTATGTTGAGCAAGTGAAAGTTTTCTACACTTATGTCGAGCAAATTAGATTATATAAATATTTATACCACATTACTTAATTGCGATACAGTGCAGTACGAAATAAAAAATCTCTAAACTTATTTTGAAGAAATTAGGTCATAGATAAAAATACTTTAATACATAAATTCATTAAACGAATAACATCATCATATTTAATATAAAAAGAACTTCTTGTTACTCACGAGTCCTTTTTTATTTGTATATTTTGTTCTTCTTTTTTCCTGCTATAGTATAGTATTTGTGTAACATTTTAGCAGCTCTTGATGTTTTAGGATAAGAAATGTAGTTTGTTTGTATTCTTATACATGATAGGTAATCAAATTTGTGTTTTTTTGAAGTGTGTGTTTCGTTTTAAATAAGCAAAAACAAAAAAACAAAATGTGTTTATACGATAAAAAAAATTAAAATAATGCAGAAAAATCAATTATTCTATCTTTTGCAACATACTTACACTGCTATATTTTATTATGCCATATTTTATGATTAATTTGACTATTTAATCAAATATTAGCAAAATATGCGTAAATTTTTAAAAGCTTTTTTTTTTTGCCGCTTACATTTACTAAATTTTCTATCAATATATGCTCGGAGTCAGGGGTGTTTGTGGTTCGATTTAGATCGGTTATTAGTTAGAATAATAAATCAAATCAATATAATCAGATTTTTAAGTATCTATAATCAAATCAAATCAAATGAAAAAAAATAACCGTCGATTTGACTATTGACGGTTTGGTAAAATTGTTTTTTTTTCAGTTTGAATATCATAGATTTTTGAGAACGTACGTATCTTGATAAACACAAATACTTAGTACATAAACAATCAATGAAAATACTAAAGTTATCATTACCCAAACAAAGTGATTCAATTAAAAGAAAATATAATTAACTTATGAAAAATATGGTAGGAAGACTAAATTAATGAATTTCGATAAAATTGAACTTAAGATTGTAATGGATAGACTAAAAGGAAGTGTTAGACTAGAGAAATAGATAAAGTTAAAGATTAAAGATACTTCAAAATATACTAATAAAATATTTATAAAAATAATATATAAATAATTGTAAAATTTATATATATAAAATTGATCAGTTTGGATTGATTATATTTACAGTTACTTTTTTTTGTAAAATTAAAATCAAAACAAATATTATCAATTTTTCAAAATTTAAAATCAAGCATAATCAAATCAAATCGAATGTTCATATTTTTAATGATTTAGTTCGAATTGCGATTTAATTTACTTTTTTAAACAATAACCAGGAAAATAACCCTATATCTAGTAATGCTTAGAAATACATTTATACATCTATTTAAATCGAAATTTAATCGAATTTCGATATAAGCGTGGCGCTCACCAACAAAAGATACTTCATATATACGGTACCGAATACAAAGGAACTTCAATTGCAGTTTTCATACCGACTCCTTTTTCTCACACTTTTCATCTCAACACAAGCGAAGGTATATTCTCAGATTTATTCATCAATTACATTTATCAACTTTGATTTCTAGTTTTTTTGTTTGTTTGTTTTCAGTATTTATGTGTTTTTTTTCCGAAAAAAGTTAGAATTCTAGTGCTATTAGTTTGAGTTGTTTTGCTGAATTATTGTTCGATTTGCAGAAATCGTGTTATTTCATTCATAATTATGTTGTTTAGATTGTTTATGGTTAGGTAATTGGGAAGTTTGGTTTTGAATTGATGGTAGTTTGAGCATTATAGTTGTTTGCTATTAAGAAATAGCAGAAGGTGTTTCTGGGTTTTAGTAGTTAGGGTTTGAAGCTGTTATTGTGGATTGTAGTGTTAATTCTGAAAGGAAATGAAACTGAACTAATGGGATGAACCAAAATAAATAATTGTGGCCTAGTCGTCAATGGAGTGGTTGAGAACAGTAAGGTCTCGGGATCATAAATAAGCCGAGACAAAAAATACTGGGTGATTTATCCCATCCGTAGTAGCCTTGTAGTGTTACTGTGGAATTAGTTGAGATGTATGAAAGCTGGTCGGACATCACAATCATAAAAAAAAGAATAAAAATCTAAAATTGTTGTGATTGGGGGTATGTTTGTTCAGGATGAAAATATTTTCTTAAACAAGTGAGTTTGGTACTTTTTTATTACTATTTGATAAGCAAGCAAGAAAATATTAGTCTAAAAGCATTTTATATGTAATTTGGTTGTTACTGTATGGAGGAACAAAATGGTGAGTGTTTGTTTTGCTAGATTGGCACTCTTTTATGAATTAGTTTTGAATATATGGTTGGCTTGTTAATTATCTGTTGTATTTTCTCTATTTGGGTATTTTCTGATTGCTCAATTGTTGGTACTTTTGTTTTCTTTAGCCAGTTGGATTTGCTTAAAAGCATTGAAGTTGGAGATTTAGTGTTAGTACTCTTAATATAATCTCAAAAATGTTTCTTTCCAACATTTTCCGATTTCTCTGACCTAGATTCCGATACAAAGTTGTTTTAATAAAATCACATTGTGCTTGGTTTGACTGTTCGATGGACGTTTCGTCGCATCTTAATGTAGGACCATTTAATTTGATGATGACATCTTTGTTATGAAAATCATAGGCTCCTTTTGCTCCTTTGATGAGTAAGCCTGGTGTAATTAACACTACCGACTGGCTAGACTTTTTTTTTTCTTTTTACAAAGGTAACAGAACCTAGACTCTACTGTGATTTCTTCTTTTGTATTTTAGTATTAGATTTGCAAGGTTCTTAGAGAAGATGACTAGATGCATGAATGTAATTTATTTATTCCTTACTTTATTTAGGTGTTTATGGTTATACTCCTTTCATGAATATGTCACAAATTTATTCAGGCCTGATTGATTGTTTTCCGATGTAGTTGATGGTGTAAATTGAACAGACTTCGCTTTATCTGATGTCTAATTTCTTTCCTCTTGGTAATTTGTCCATTAAGTCAGCAGATATGAATCCAGGGGGTTATACAGTAGAAGTTACAGGTCTTTCCCCTGCTGCTACTGAGAAGGATGTTCAGGAGTTCTTTGCTTTCTGTGGGGCAATTGAACATGTTGAGATTGTCAGGTGGGTTTAATCTCTCTGGGATTACATTACAATTTTACTAACCATACTCTATATTTCTGTTTTGATGATTTAGAGTGAAAAGAATGGAAGGGATATTATGAGTAGAACAATTATTTTTTGTTTCAATTTTTTCCAATTCCTCAAGTTCAAACCCGCTCCTCAATTTTATTTTACACACACTATAGATGATTATCTTTTGTAATATTATTAGATTGATATGTGAACAATAAACAAGTTTTGCTGCCACTAATTTTTGGTTTGTTATTGTCCTGTTCCCTTTTTTGATCTCTTACAAAAATGTATGTTATTGTAGAGAAAGTATTCATGCTTGGGTTGGGCAAACGACGAGGGGTTTGGCTGTCGGTGATATGCATCTATGTCTCTTTATAATTTGGTTTTGTCAGTGACATGAATTATTTGATTTTTGGAAAAACTGGAGCTCGAATTCACATAGTTTATTCTGAGAATTTGATAGTATATCCTTTAGCAAATAGCCAAATATAGAGCTGCAAGAATTTCACCTATGGTACTTTTTTTTTTACTTCTGTTTTGCCTTTCCAGAGTACGGTTATAGCTGTTTACAGAGTCTTTATCTTTATCAAGTCCTATTTCAATTGAAATTGGAAAAAATCACTGTGGAGCTCCAAGCTCCACTGAAATCTCTTCTAGCATTGTACGAGCTTTTACTCCACCGAACTGTTTAAAAATGACTCTTGCCATCAACATTACTATTTCAGTTGTTATTCTACTGATGATGATTAATCATGTAATTGAGGAACTTTCTTGGTCTCACAACATACATCATGTGTTTCATTCCTTATTGTTGCATCAGCTACTGCATATAAAATTTTGGTTACTGATTGAGTGATGCTCGTGTTTGAGAATGCAGAGCTGGTGAACATGCAAGTACAGCCTATGTGACGTTTAGAAATCCTCATGCATTGGAAACGGCTGTCTTACTGAGTGTAAGTTCCTTCAGATTGCTTATTGAGTGTACTACATTGTAAATAAGGTTTAGGTCTCAGAATTAGCAGCCTACAATTGTAATCCCCCTTCAACTTGATAGTTGCTAATTCTGGTTCTACGTAGTGTATAACTGAGTGCATTCTGTTTCACTTCCCTTGTGTGTTTCATAGTGTTTGAAGTCAAAATAGTTTTATCTGCCGGATGTCGTGCTGATACTACATTATCTTAAAAAGTGATACAACTTTGGGAAACTGTTGTTTGCATTTTATCTAATGCGAGCAAAGAGGTAATGGATGGTTTTACAACTGTGAACTTAACTGTTATTTATGCTCATCTCTTATATATCTCTAGTTCAGAGCATAGACAATTAGCTTCTTTTGCTCTATGATAGTGTGTACTAGAGATAACATAATATTGCTCACTCTTCTTTCAGGGGGCTGCCATTTTGGATCAACGTGTGTGCATAACCAGCTGGGGCCACTATCAAGATGATTTTGATTATTGGAATCATTCATCATGGAAACCTCAAGAAGACTGTCATTCAAGTGTATGATCTTCTCCCTCCTGCTTTCCTATCTACTTATTTCTGTATGAATAATGAGGTGTGTATTTTTAATGAGTTGATTTATAAATCGAGCAGGACTCCCAAGGACACCATTTTGTTTCTTCTGCTGGGGAAGCTGTAACATTGACTCAAGATGTGGTTAAAACCATGCTATCTCAAGGGTATGTTCTTGGTAAAGGCGCATTGGGAAAAGCCAAAGCTTTTGACGAATCTCATGGGCTGTCAGCAACTGCAGTCTCCAAGGTTGCTGATTTAAGTGAGAGAATCGGCCTCACTGACAAGTTCTGTGCCGGGGTTGAAGTGGCTAGGTCCGTGGATCAGAGGTATCACATATCAGATACCACCAGATCAGCTGTTTCAGCTACAGGTAGAACTGCCATCTCTGCTGCAACTGCTGTTATCAACAGTAGCTACTTTTCCAAAGGAGCTCTTTGGATGTCTGGTGCACTAAGTAAAGCGGCTCAAGCTGCAGCTGATTTGGGTAGCCGAGGCACTAACAAATGAGTAGGTTCGAGCAATTGACATGTAGCTTGGAGTCCATTATATGAGAATGGTTCGTGTGGTCTGAAGTCGCGAACTAAGTAGATTGGCCTAATGGTGTTGATTCATCTGGAATCGAACCGTGTTTCCTTTACGTTGTTGTTTGGATATCAGGTCGATGTTGTAAAGAACATATAGTACACTAATAAGTTGAGTAGGAATTCCCTTTTCAGTTTATTTCTTGCCTTTTTTCACCCCTTCCTTTTTACTGGTTTTGCAACATGCAGTTGTGCTCAAGTCCTCGAAAGAGGCTCTGTAAAGCTAACTTGTTTAGTCTGTTAACAAAAGTTGTGTATGCGTTCCTGCGTGTTTCTATTAGATATTTTTGACTGACAAGTAAAAATGAAAATCTAATTTAGAAATATGTGATAAGTAAAAGTGATCGGAACGGAGGAAGTAGCTAATTTATACGATGAAAATACATACAATCAGTTTTCTTGAAAGGTCGCGATAAGCTTTGAGACACTGCGCGTAAGTTTTTGAATTTACGAAGCCTAGTCTCATATATATTTAATTTTATAATTTTATTTAAGAAAATAAGCAAAAATAGTACTTTTATTATTTTACAAATAAATTTTAATAAATTACGTATAATATATAGAAAAGAATATGATAATTTTATTTAAGAAAGATACTAATAACCAATAATGAAGAAATAAAGTACTACAATTAATATTTAAGAAAAATCATTCAACCAATAATAAAAGATATGTAAAAAAAAAGATAAGTTAAAAAATCGATTAGGACGTACGATTTTACGCTTCGAAATCTTAAATTGAATCTACGTTTTTCAATTGCGTCCAAAATATTTTTAATAGGCTTTGTTTCGTGACTCGTCCTTTATTAGGTGTTCCAATATAATTTTTAAGTTTATGTGAACATGTTGAATTTGGTATGTGACAAAAAAGAGCCTCGTGTATACCAAAATGACATAACAAGGAAAATGAAAATAGCCGTCGGTGCCCTTCTCTTTCCCTTTGTGTAAAAGTCAAGCATATCCACCTTTGAATCCGACGCCGTTTCATAATCTCCGAGCTTCATCAATCTCCATTTCCAGATCGAATGTGAAGGAGATCCCAATTCATTCGCCTGAAAAATGGATGCGGTATCGATCAGAGTACCGTATAAGAATCTGAAGCAGCAGGAAGTGGAATTAACTAATGTTGATGAATCACGGTTTGCACAGCTCGAGATCCGTAGTGATTCATCATCTCCTAGGGTTTCTAATGGAGAAATGAATGATTCTAATCTACCTCTTCCTCCACCGCCTGTACGTAACAGTTTGCTCACCTTGATTCTTAGTTGCACCGTCGCTGCTGGGGTTCAGTTTGGATGGGCTCTGCAACTATCTCTCCTTACACCTTATATTCAGGTGCAAACATTTTGGATTACTTGTCATGTTTGGTTTCTTCATAGTCAATTTGAGCTACATTAATTCAAATATTTAGCTGCGATCCTTCTAACAATATTAATATGATCTTAAAATGTCGGTCAGCATGCAGTATATAGTGTTAATTGAATTTAAAGATGTTAATTTTACTCATTTACAAGCTCTGTTTTTGATTTGTTTGACCGAATGTGGAGTTACGAGATTGGTGTATGTATGTATTTATACTAGTGATAACAACAACAGAAACAAACCTAGTGTAGTATTGTAAGCGAGCATCTGTGGAGGAAGTAGAGAGGCTATTTTTGAAAGACCCTTGGTTCGAGTAACACACATTTGAAGCAGCTAAAAAGGAAAATGAAGAAGTAAAGAGGACATAGCAAATAAGAGGGGAAACATAACGTAGCATCCAGAATAGGAGCAATAAGGATAACTAAATGATGTGATAACAGAAGCACACTAATAACGAGGAGTATAAAAAAAACATAGTTGGAAGCAAGGTAGCGCTCCAAGACACAAGGAGTGTAGTCTTATCACGGCACTGCCAAGTTCCTCCCTTAAATCTTGACTCCAGCCGAGGTTACGTAAGTGGATAAAAATTTACAGCTGCAGCAATGAGAATCTAGTTTGAAAATTCCGACACAATTTTCAGGATGATTTAGTTGATGTCTTTGATGATTGTATACAAAACAACAAGAACATACACAGTGGAATCCCACAAGTGGGATCTAGGAAGGGTAGAGTGTACGCGGGCCTTACTACTATCTCGTGGACGTAGATAAACCCTCGGCTCGTCTTTAATGTTTTGTCTAGAAGTAGAAAAAAATATCCTGTAAATTGAACATTTAGTGCCATGTGGTTCACATGAACTCTCTACTGTATTTCATTTGCAATTTTGTTTTGGTGGTTGAGAATGCAGAAACTGTCTCTGTGATCAGTTCACTTATATTTCATAGAGAAAAAGAGATCAGAAATTGATTAAAGGTTCTTGTATATATGAAATATTATTGATATGTATTAGAGAAGGAAGAGGAAATAAGCATAAAAGAATAAATTATATTGTGACCTATAGACGAGCACTTTCGGTTTCCTGGTGAACATGATATTTAAGGATCTTTAGAGTTGAAGACCTCTGAAAAAAATTCATTTTCTAGAAGCTTCGAGCTCCTCAAGTTGAAAAGCTATTTCGCAAGAGAACCCTTTGCACATCTTAGTATTATACAAATTGGAAGCTATTTAGAATAGTTGAGTGGTCCCAGTTGTTTCGTGATCACCGAGAAAGTCTCTTGGCTAGTGGTACATGGTTTGAAACAAATGGATAAGTTGTTTCTGCTATCCTCAAGCAATAAGTTCTTATAATTTTCTATCTTTTAGTGGCTTCAGTTTCCTTTTATTATTTTGTTTGCCTATTTCTAGTTGAGCTTCTTCTTTGCCTAAAATTTTTCATATCTATGTTTTGCAGACACTTGGCATAGAGCATGCCTTCTCTTCTTTTATTTGGCTATGCGGTCCTATTACTGGCCTTGTGGTAAGTTGTTCAAATATCATGGAGTTTTATTGCAGATTACTTGGTAAAATGTCCATCTGAAGTGATGAATATCAGTAATTAGAATATAGAGGTGTGAAAACAGCTCTGCTGAGATAAATTGCTGAAAAAATAAGATGGTGATAACCTTTGCACCTGCAAAACCAATTGCAAAAGCTACACTGTTTGAGATTTGTGGACTCTTTAAACAAGAATTTGTTAGACTTCAGCCCATGTACTTAAAATTGTAGATATGGCTTTGCTGAACTGTAACTTCTTTTTTTAACTTTGGATCTCTGCAAAATTTGTCAGCTGTTCCTTGAATTAAAACTTTCTATCCTTTGATCAGTAAAACGAAGTCGCCAGATATATGGTACATACAAATAAAACTTATATATTGGAGAAGTTTCTCCAGAAGCTCCGTTGCTTATTCAACTTAGAAACTTGTCTTCTTGGATATTCTTTAGGTACAACCTTGTGTAGGTATATGGAGTGATAAATGTCATTCTAAATATGGCAGAAGAAGGCCTTTCATTTTTATTGGAGCTGTCATGATCTCTATTGCTGTAAGCATTTAGTAGTTATTTTTATCCTATATTGAATTATTTGGTTCCAGTTAAATCGGCTGAACTAAATCTTGTCGTTTAGGTGATAATTATCGGGTTTTCTGCAGACATAGGATACTTATTGGGGGACACAAAAGAGCATTGCAGGTTTAAACTTCCTCTTGTTCCTGTAATTTTTTTGGATTATCTGAATAGGCTGTGAAGTCTTAAATTATTGTGTGAAAATGCAGCACTTTCAAAGGCACTCGCTCAAGAGCAGCCATTGTATTTGTCGTTGGGTTTTGGATGCTCGATCTTGCTAATAATACTGTGCAGGTTAGCTTCTGAAAGCTTACTGCTATTTCAAGTGGTGTAGATGATTCTAGTAGATGTTACACCATAGTTGTTTTATGTTGGCAGGGTCCGGCTCGAGCTCTTTTGGCAGATTTGTCAGGTAAAAATTCCGATAGATGGAAGAATTATTTTTTTTAAAAATTAATTGGTACAGTTCTTCTTTTGTTGCAATTTGTTGAGATGTATTGGGAACTTTGTTGTAGGTCCTGATCAAAGAAATACCGCAAATGCTGTGTTCTGCTCCTGGATGGCTGTTGGAAACATTCTTGGATTTTCTGCTGGAGCCAGTGGAGGTTGGCACAGGTTTGCTGTTTATTGCGTATCTGAAGTGATATGATGATGTTATATGTGTGTGTGCTTATGTAAAAAGATAGCTCACAATCCCCATCCTGCTTGAACAATATCACTTGTTCAGCATTCTTCTTAAGGGCCATGCCTTTAAAAGTTGTTGAGCTTTTGGTAGCAAAATGTCTTCTGAATTAAGACTTGGTTAAAATATCACATGCGTAAGGTAGTCTTTGACAAAACTTTGTATCTGGACAGATGGTTTCCGTTTTTGACAAATAGAGCTTGTTGTGAGCCATGTGGAAATCTCAAAGCAGCATTCTTAGTTGCAGTGGTGAGTTAACTGCCCTTGATAGAGTTTTTGTGTAGATATAGTAAATTCTGTTTTTGAATCTTGATTTTTGAGGTCATCTATTTTACTTAGACACGTTTTTTCTACCTTGTTTATGTACATAGACAAAACTAGTTGCTAACAAAACATAAAAGGAAGTTTCTGGATCTACTTGTCATATCCTGCATCCTTGATAAAGATATCCCTCGAGCATCTTTTGTAAATAATGTCTTAAAACATTAATCACGTCCTCTTATGCATCTTGTCACTTGCTACTTGCTGATATACCTTTTTTTAAGCCAACTGATTTACTATCTTTGAAAATTGGCTTCTGAAATTAGATAGAGTACAAAGACGACATTTACATTTAATCCCAAGAGGGGTTGGCTAGTGACGACAAGAAAGTCCCACAAGATTCAAGCACATTGATGGAAAACCAGCAACCCTTAAGTACAACCCATGAAAATGACGGACATAAACATAAAGGGTCAACACAAAACAAGCAGTAGATTAGCTTAAATTCTTGCTAACACTGTCGATTAACCCAAACCAAGCTAGATTTAGAATAAGAAAGAAATGACAGGTTCAAATAGAAGCAATTAGTCCACACAAGTATTATCTTCTTACCCCTACCTACTCCTTTGTGTGATAGAGGTTTTTTCTGTACTCTCGGCTAAAGAAGTACCTCATTGACTCTCCAAAAGGTACATGTGTCAAACAAAGTGGAACAGGGGGTGGGTTTTTGACTATGAAGAACTAGTTCTATACTTAAGCTTGAACATAGTACAAATTAATTCTTCTCTGGCGGTTACTGTGTGTTTTAGCACCCATCATGATTCTGTCATTCAAAGTGCTCTATGGACTGTGAACAGGTCTTTCTAACTCTCTGCACGTTAGTAACTCTCTACTTCGCTAATGAAGTCCCGCTGTCACCCAAGCAATATAAGCGCATGTCAGATTCTGCTCCTCTCTTGGATAGTCCTCAGAATACTGGATTTGACCTTTCTCAATCGAAAAGGGAGTTGCAGTATGCAAATAGTGTGGCAAATAATGAATCTGAGATGGGTCATGTAGCAGATAATAGTCCAAAGAATGAAGAACAGAGACCAGACAAGGATCAAGGTGATAGCTTCGCTGATAGCCCTGGAGCAGTTTTGGTCAATCTGTTGACCAGCTTACGTCATTTGCCTCCCGCAATGCATTCGGTTCTCATTGTCATGGCTCTGACTTGGGTAAGTAACTTCTGATTTTTCTGATTTAAGCTTTTAAACTAGCTGTACACATTTTCAATTTGCTGTATTTTGTGAATTTTATTCTTTAGGTTTCTTGTAATCTTTCCAGTGCAGCTAATTATCTATCTTTCTGTCCTTTCAACCAGTTGTCCTGGTTTCCCTTTTTCCTTTTTGACACGGATTGGATGGGGAGAGAAGTCTATCACGGGGATCCGAAAGGAGAAGCAGATGAAGTAAATGCATATAACCAAGGTGTCAGAGAAGGTGCATTTGGTTTGCTATTGAATTCTGTAAGAACTCAGAATTGAGAATAACTAGTTATCCTTTATTTAGATCCAATAATAGGTGATTTGCAGCTTACTAGAATTAATTATCCATTGAGAGCTTATTTATGTCTCTCTCATGGGTGCCCCACTGGCGTCTACGTTATTGTGATGAATCTCCCTGTGAGCAGGTTGTTCTTGGCGTTAGCTCCTTTCTTATTGAGCCAATGTGCAAATGGATTGGTTCTAGACTTGTTTGGGCTGTGAGCAACTTCATTGTATTTGTCTGCATGGCCTGCACCGCTATCATTAGCGTGGTTTCTATCAGTGCAAATACGCAGGGAGTCCAACATGTAATTGGTGCTACTCGATCAACTCAAATTGCTGCTTTGGTTGTTTTCTCTCTTCTTGGCATTCCTCTTGCTGTAAGTTTTTTCTATTACTCCATATATTTTTGTACCTGTTAGCTGCTTATCCAATAGATGTGTTTTTTTTTGTACCTGTTCATCTTTTCATGCATTTTGCTTTACATGCCTGCAGGTAACCTACAGCGTCCCTTTCTCTATCACAGCAGAGTTGACAGCTGACGCTGGTGGTGGCCAAGGTATTTTCTTCGATCCATTAAAATGTTATCACGTCTTACTCGATGAGGCGATCATTGAAACTGTGGTATGCTTTTGCAGGGTTGGCAATAGGAGTCCTGAATCTTGCAATTGTTGTACCTCAGGTAACTTTGCCTTTATATGTTTGATATTGAATTTCATTGAAATGCTTAACACATATGAATAACAACGACAACATATATACCTAGTGTATGTAATCCCCACGAGTGACGATGACATAGTTTTTTATTTTTTATTTACTTAGATGGTTGTATCGCTTGGTGCGGGTCCTTGGGATGCTTTATTTGGTGGAGGAAACATACCGGCATTTGCCTTAGCATCTTTAGCTGCACTTGCTGCTGGAATTTTTGCTATGCTCAGACTACCAAATTTATCAAGTAATTTCAAATCAACTGGCTTCCATTTTGGTTGAGTTAATTTATTGTGTTATACTTCTTATACACATTACACATGTAGTTCATGTTACTGAAGTAACAAAAATATAGTACAGTTTTAGCTGTGATAGGTATCTGATATTTTTCACTCACATTCAATTCATTTTACCCCAATTTTTGACTCTCTTGTATAATGTAAAATTGTCATCTGTAATGAGGAAAAATGTTGTTTACTCTTTGTGAATAACTGGATATCTCAATAATTTTTCGCAAAATCAGTTTTTTGTATTATTGGCTCGACTAATTTAAATTCGGGTATGATGGGGCGGACCAAGAGTGGTTCCTGCAACTCTACAGTAATTCCATAGCTTTAAAAATTAAGTTTATAGAATTTAAATCCTGAATTAGCCCTTAAAAAAGGAATAATCTACCGATATTAAAGAACTTCTGCACAGGACATGAAATAAGATCAATAAAATAAGGAGTATTACTCTCTATAGGTATTTAATTTATTTGTCATGTTTTGATTTAACATAAAGTTTAAAAAAGTGAAAAAGACTTGAACTTGAATTTCATGATCGTAAACATATTATTGTTAAAAAAAAATAGAGACATTCTTTTTTAAACTAATGAAAAAAAGGTAATAAAATTTACAACTTTAGTATGAAAGTAGTAGAGGGTAGAAAATATCAAATCAAGATTCACAGACCTTACAGTGTATTATATATATAATAATTAGATTATTTTTTGGCATATTTGTTAGTTATTTCTTTTGAATATATGAACACTAGATTCGTTTACCTAATACTTCCTCCGTTCAGAAATATTTGTCATGTCGTGTTTATCAAAAATCAATTTGATTAATTTTCAAAGATAAATTAGATATTCTAAAACTAAACAAAAAGTACTATAAATTACAATTTTTTCATATTAATATGATGAAAAGATGCATCTTAAAATGTTAGTCGAAATTATTATAGTTTGATTCTAAAAATAGAAATCATGACAAATAATACCGGACAGATGGAGTAATAACAAGCAAGCATGTGACAAATCTACATGGAAATTGGAAAACCCTAATAGATTACTTCTTCTATTTCTTTTTTGAAGTTTAAGCTTTAAATTCTGTGCACTGATGAAGGCGCGAAAATTATTTGTATAATTAGGTCACTTATTAATAATTATCAATAAATTTCACAATATTCATCTTATCTCAATTTATACGAAGAAAATCGAAGTACGATGATTCATTAATTTTGTACAGTATATGAATTCGACTATAATTTTTTTTACATATAAAAACTACACTAGAAATACTACAAGTTAACAATTTTTAAAACATAAAAAAAAATAATTAAAGAGAAAAATCAACTGACGTCTCAAATAGTGACTCTTTCACATAAAATGAAACGAAGAAAATATATAATATTAGTAATTTTAAGAAAAAAATAACTATATATAACCTGCCATGACATTTAAAATTTACTCATGGTATAAAAGTGAAGAATTTTTAAATATATATATATATATATAATTTTAATTAGAAGAAAGTTAGATGAAGATCAAGTTAGTAATTCGTGAATTCTTTTATGGGATCATGTGAAGAAAGGATATATTATCTCTGGCATCAAGGCTGGATAATTTGGCATTATATTAAAATTCTGAATCTTCCAATATTTATTTCTAAATCTTATAATTAAAAAAATCTAAGTGGAAATATTTAACTATATTTATTTAAGTAATGAGCCTATGAAGTGGCTGTGGCTATATGGTGGATCCTCAAACTGAAAACCCATTATTTTATTTCAATAAGCAGTATTCTTTTCGTTCCAAAATAATTGTTACCATTCAATTTTCGAGAATCAAATTTAAATAATTTTAAGGTAAATTTGATTGAGATAATCTAATATTATAAAACTAAAATATTCAATAACTCTACGAAAAAATATTATAAAATATAATTTTTTTAAAAAATATTAATTAAAATTTTAATATTTAATTCTCGAGAAACGAAAGAAATATTAATTGTTTTTGTGACAAAGAAAGTACATGTTGGATTATATTAATATTGGAATAATATCAGAATCTTTAGCCTTGTTGTGGATATGGAGGATTGTAAATTATAAGGTAACATGTGGTGGCCATTAAAATGGAATTATAGCAATTAATGTACTAATCTATGAAATATTTGCCCTGTGTCAACGGCTTGTTTGTTAAAATTCTCTATGTTCTATATTAATTGTAATGTTTCATTTTTTATAAACTAATTTAGCTAATTTATAGTTTAAATTATATTAAAAATTATATTCACTCTATTTCAATTTGATCGTTGTTCATTGAATTTTATTTCTCCTTTGAGATGGGGCTCACACATGTTTTGCAGTATCACTTTTGGTATGAAAAGTTCGTAATGTTAATTGAGTACCCAATTCTCCAATCGATTGACTTGAAATAACACATGAATACCCAAAAAAAAGGAGATGAATAGCGAATCGTAGAGCTAAATCGAAACATGTATGATTTCTCTTCGAATTACGAAATTAACAAGCCTATTAGGATTATAGGGGTCCCACTTTAGAGACTCTCCTTCGTAATAGTTAGTATATGGTGCCACAAATTGCCATCCGCTTGCTCACTCTCTCTTCTATCGAAGTTCTGTTAAAAAATCTGATCCTTTTGTTTATTTTTCTTTAGTAGTATTTATGTGTATGTTTACATTAGTAGTAGCTATGTTGTCCTTTACACTTAAAAAAAGAAAAATTAGTTACAAAATTTATTATTAATCTATCGCTATGTAACTCATAGCTAGAAAAATGTTACGATAATTCATCATTAGATAAAATTTGAAACTATTAACCCCTACCTTACTTTTAGATTTTTATTTTGTTCATTTTTAGCTAAATTATCAATGGACTGGAGATAAGATCTTCAATAAGTTAAAAAAATCTTTTTCAAAGACCTATATATATAATTATAATTCATCCCATATTTTTCCAATCAAATATGTTACCAAACACATGATATAAACAGAATTATAGTCAACACACTCAAATTTATCAAGAAAAGTGAAAGTGATATTGAAAAAAGAGGATGATGATATAGGGAAAAAAAAGAGATGTACATGTGATCAAAATTTGTAGGGTCAAGTAAAGAATAAATACAGGTGACACACACATATGTTTATATATAGTACTATAAATAAATAAAAGTTTTGAAAATTTTATTTTCATTTTTTTTGAAAGTTTTAAAAAAGTTTTTGAAAAGAAAAAAGAGTTTTGTGTTTGACAGTAGGTCACATGTTTTTCTTACTTTCTTGAAATATATCTATCTATCTATCAAACACAAAAGGACTATAAAGATGGTGAAATAGAAAAGGAAGTATCCAAAAACTAATGGTGGGTACACACTAAATTCAACAATATTTTGGGACTCATAGAAAAATAAACAATATATAACATATCCAGCATAATTCTATGAGTAGAATTTTTTAAAAAAATAATAGAATGAACATAAATTAATTTTTTTCCAAATATCATTCATCTCCGACCTTTAATATTGTGGATTGAAGTTATCAAAAAAGTTAAAAGAATCAGAGCTCCTACAGAGGAATAAAAAAAAATATAATTTTCTAGAAAATAAAATTTTGCATCTTCCACGAACCCAAGACCAAGACCGAGAGCGAGTCCGAGATCTCAACCCCAAAACCTAAGATCTAACCCTGACCAGACCTCGCGCTCAAGATCGAGACCAAAGACCGAACCCTGAGATGATCCCCACCCAAGACTCAACCCTGAAAACAACACATAACCTGGTCGAGTCTCGAGTAGGGGGTTGAGGCACTAGGGATTAGGGACACTTTGGTGAATTGGGGTGGGTGGGTGGTGCATGATGAGATTGAAAGAGAATTAAAAAAATGTTTTTCCTACTTTTCGTAGAAATAATATCATTTTCCTATTAGATAAAAATAACTTCATTTGAAAATTATTTTCAGAACATTTAAATCAATCAAACATCAGAAAACTTCATACCGAATCGGCGAACACACTCTAGAGTAATTTATTATTCATCAAAATCATATCTTGTTAGAGTAAGTGAAACACTCTTGAGCCAAAACAATATTTTTTTTCACTATACATATTTCAATAATTAATTTATTTTATTATATAGTTTTTTTTTTTTGAGTGATTGATATTGGGTACCATACCCTCTTTCATTATCATTTGTCAGCACAAGTTTGCTAAAGTCCCCTTCACGAGAATGACCATTTCCAACTCCCCTTGTTTTCTTCTACTCTTTCATCTGTTTGTCTTCTTCCTTTTCCTTGGAATGTGTGCTTTGATTCTCCTCTTTCCTATTTTCACACCACCCCTTTTTTTTTTTTGCCTCATTGGTTAATTTTAGGCACAAAATATGAGAAACAATCATAAAAAGTTAAAAATTACTTTGGACATTTATGTACAATAGTACAAGAATGTAACATCACTCAAAAATCAAGAATAGTAAATAGGTGAAAACCAATGGTAGGAGTAATTGATAAGATTACTCAAAAGTATATAATTAATAGAATTATTTAAAGTCGTAGCAAAGTGATAAATATCATTATATTCTATATCTTTGATTTGAGTTATGAAAATGAAATTGTGCACGCCTTTCATTATTCAAAAAGTGATTTTTTTACGTGTGAATCTGAATTAATCAAGTCTGATAAGAATATTGAATACCAGATAAAAAAAACTAGAAGGTTGAATTTTTCTTATTGATATAATCATAGACAATAGATAAAGTGTAACGGGGAAAAAAGGACATGTCTTTATTAATATTTTTCTCCATAAAGATCCTTAAGTACTTGAAATGTACTTGGTTACTTTATACAAATGCCTAATACACCACAAAACAAATAGGAGTAAGTAGTAACTTTTTTCTCTCTCTCTCTCTCTCTCATGAACTCAAAAGAAATAATATGATTGATCATATGATATAATTTAAAAGGCTCCTTCAACTCAACAACTTTTTTAAAAAAAAAGTAAAAACTTTTTGGTCTCCAAAAAAGTTTCAACTAATTAAAATGTTGTTGCTCTAGCCATGGCCAAAAACTTGTTTGATCATCAATTCCACAAAACATGTTGGATAGGCTTTCTTCTTTGACACTACTACTATTATTAGTAGTAGTATTTTGGTCCATTAATTTGAGATCTTGTCTTGATGATGATGAATTGATGTGAAAGAGTTGATGAGGTACCACAACCCCATTATTATTATTATTATTATTAGACCTTATCATTGAAGGTGGAAAAAAAGGTCTACTAGAAATATTTGGATGATGATTGGATAATGGGCTGTCAATGGCTGGTGTTCTTGATATGTCTAGCTTTATTTCTGAGCTGTTTTCACTTCTATTGCTGCATGATCCTTCTGTTTCCTTGTTCAAATTGATTGATTCTGTTGGTTGCTCTCTATTCTTTAGTGACATTATCTGTCCACATTTCAAAAAAGAAAAAGAAAAAAAAGTGTAAGTTCTAAGCACCGACAGTATAAATTGTCTAATCACTTATAAATTAGTAATATCATTTACACCAACATCATCGTTAATCCACATTTTATAAACATGATGTTTTGATAATCTATCGTTAAATAAAATTAGTGATATAAGGTGTTTGTTGCTTAGTTCCTATACTTTTTTTTTAAAGTGTAATATTAATGTCTCTTACATTCTATAACAAAAAAGGTTTAACTTTTTTGAACTAGTACATTGACCAAAATAATTATAATATAGAACTAATATAATAGATTAATATAATAATAAAAAAGAAAAAAGGGGTTGATAAATGATGATATTTGTGATTGGAGGTACTACTATAGTCCTACTAGCTAGAAATTAATGATCAATATATGTCTCTTCTTTTTTAGAGCTTTCATTAAAATTCATCCATGATGAGAAGAAGTCAAATTAATCTAAAAGAAAAACATGTGAAGAATTTATTTATTTTTACTGAAAATAATGCACTATAGAGTGTATATATATCATGAAAAGGTCCAATATTTCACCAAAATAGCATATTCTTATTAAATTTTGACAACTAAAATAAAATTAAAAAAACATATTATTATATGTTCAATTGTTTCAAATATTTCTCCCTACACCTCTCCAAGAAAACAAACATTATGTTATTTAATTCCTACCTAACCAAAAAAATTATAAAGGAATCTATATATATATACACATTATTATTATACCATATCTTTACTTGTTTCAGCAGATAACATATCTTACTTGTTCGATATTCTTTATATGATGATCTGATAATGTAAAAAAAATAAAATGTATACTCAGTAGCAACGATAACGATGTATAGAATTTAATAAAATTTGTTACATACCTCTGCATGAAGCTTTTGATTTTGAGTTTGTAAAGCATCATTTTCAGCTTTGATAGCATCAAATTGTCTCTTAAGAAGTTCATAATCTTTCTCCAATTGCTTAGTCTTCCATCTTGCTCTTCTATTTTGAAACCAAATTGCAATTTGTCTTGGTTGTAACCCTAAAGCTCTTGCTAATTGCATTTTCCTTTCAGGTTCAAGTTTGTTACCTAACTCAAAATTTTTCTCAAGAGTTTTTACTTGTTCCATATTCAGTCTTCTTTTCTTCTCCCCAGCTTGTGATCCATCATCAGACAAATCATCTTCTCCATGATTTTCCTCACAACCATTATTTCCATCCATCCCAGAAAATGACATAGATCTTTTTCCCAAAAATGAAGCAATACCTACCCCACACACACATTAAATAAAAAAAAATGTAAGACAATATAATATCTTGTTGAAGTTGAAATTGTGTTTGAACATCGAGAGAAAAAAAAAGAACTAGAGATTTGTAAAGCAGAATAAGGTCTGCGTACACTCTACCTTCTTTTTCCACGGATCTCACTTGTTGTTATTAGTCAAAATAGTCTTTTAACTTCATATTGTCTATTTCAAAGTTTGAAATAAACAAAATTGTGAAACAAACATTGATTTGTGAATAATATTTGCAAATAATGTTCAAACACCTAACTAGAAGAAGAAGTTTATTAAAACAATTAATAAATTAATTAAAGAAATCTTTAAAATTAGAAAAAGAAATCAAACCATGGAAGTCTTGAGGTGAGCATGAGGGAAGAATGGGATTGAGAGAAGTTGAAGGTTGATGTTCATCTTCATTATGAGGAGTTTGTAGCATGAAATTTGTTGGAAAGAAAGCCATTTCATAATTAGTGCAAGTCATAACCTATAACATTTTTTCCCACAACTCCAAATATCTATGACTATGAATATTCATAATGCTTTGAGAGAGGAGTAAAATTATTGAGATCAACTAATTCTCTTCAAAGAAATGAGGGAAAAAAATGTTTTTATATAAGTATGAAATACTACTAAGAGTATATTTAACTCTTTTTAGTATAAAAAAAGAGAGAGAGAGAGAAAGATATTTGAAAAAATTAGTAAGGTGGTGTTGATTTAGAAGTAGATGCATTCTATTCTTATGATGATAGGATGGCTTATATACCTTATCAACTTCAAGAGAACCTTTTCTTTCCTATTTTATCCTCTTTTTTTTTGTTTATTGTTATGTATGTATGGTAGAGGTGGAAGCAGAGCTAGGTGGGGGTTCGTAAGCTCGATCGAACTCAATAACTTTTACATCGATCTTATATATATATATATATTAATCCGTGAATCCCTAACAAAAAATAATTGTCGATCGATTTAGTGAACCCCGAACTCTTTTTAGGGAGAGAGGGTGTTGGATGTTTTTTAATAGTAGTACTTTTTTTCACCATGATAATCAATATTTGCCTTAGGTTTGATTATATTTATATTTGTATCGAAAAATTTCATATTCAAAATTCAAATTTAAATTATAGTAATATAATCATTGTTGATTTTATTTTGTTACAAATACATACTCAAGTTAACTTTCAAGCACTATCAAATTGTTTCTTTTTCTTATTAATCTTTTTTAGTTATTTATTTATTTTAATTAATTAGTATTTTGGCTTGTTAAGTGACAAAAGTGGGCAGTGTGTATCTTTCTGTAATGACAGTTGTCCTTGATCAATTTAAATCAGGAGGGCAACTGATTCTTTTGCTATAGGAGAGAAAATGGGGTTTATATTTTATTTATTTTAGAGGCATAGTGGGTGGTTTAGAGAAAAAATAATACTAATATTAATTCAACATTATAATCTTTTAGTGTATGTTTTGGTAAAAGAAAATAAAAAAGGAGTTTTGATACATATCTTGGTCATGAGTTTAATAAATTGTGTTCTCCTTACATAGACCATATATCTAAGTATAATTAAATTGATTAATTGTAATTAAGGTAACACCCCCCCCCATCCACCATAGAAATTTTAACTAAAATTTTATATTTATTTTAAAAAATTATTTATTATATAAATATCAAACTATTGGAAATCAATAGCAAGAAATATCGTTATTTAAAATTTCCGACTTCACCTCTATATTAACAATCGATAAATAAATAATCTTCAGATAATATCATACAACAACTTAGACAATAGCACGAAAATAACCTATTTTAATTGACTAAACTGTAATATGTACATGACTTTATCGATATATACGACTTAAATTCTTAAAAAAAAATTATTTTAATTTTTTGGGTGGGGTGGGGGGTTAAATAGAGAGAAGGGGGAGGAATCTAGGATGGGTCCTATAGAGGGGGCAGGGTTTGCCACCTAACCTACCAACACCTATCGTGCATTAGGACTATGGCCTTTCCCATCCATTATCCTTTTCTCTAACTCACCATCAAACTTATATAGCCTATGTAGAAATTAGGCCTCTATATCATTTTATTTTGAATTTTGAGTGACATATGAAAGAAAAAAATAAAGTTATATAGGAGAAAGTAGATATATACTATTCCTCGATAAGAGGGAGTTGCTCATATCATAAGCAATATCTCTTACTTTCAATTTTAAGATTGTGAGTTCGAATCACCAACAGAGCACAATACTGAAAGCTCTTGAGTGCGGTAATATATATATACACTACTTCCTCTTACTCGTTGGTGTCGTACTTTTCTTTTTGATTTGTTTTAAAAAAATATATATTTTTTCTTTTTTGATAATATATTTTAGATCAAAAGATAAAAGGTCGTATTTTAGTAGATTCGATCAATTCTAAGTTTAGAATGACGAAAATCATTTCCTTATATTCTTATATTTTATGTCGAGTAAAAATCAGATAAACAAATTAAAATATCGAAGATATATATTACTACTAGCCTACTACTATAGTAGAAGAGAACTCTTAGGAAAAGGTGCACAAAACAAACAATAGCCCCCACCTTCTTTTTTAATATATTTATTTCAAATATATATAAACCCTACCATGCATAGTTTGTTCATTTTTATTTTATTTTTTTTGTATTTGTGACCCTCCAATCCAAGTGTCCATATCTATCCTCCAAAATTTTGAAATGACTTTATCTTGAAACATGTCGTTATTCCCCGCTTTCCTCTCTCCTTCCTCTCTTCAGAGTTGATCAAGGACAATTTCAAATTAAAATTATAATAATAAAAATAAAAATAGTAATTATGATATACATATATATGCGCTATATTTTTAAAGAAGGGTAAAGTTTTAACTTTTTCGTAAAATAAAACGTAAATTTGAACTTTTTTTATATAACTATTTGATATTTTATAATCATATATCGATATAATCATGACTAATTTAAATTTGCGCTAGGATAGTGCTCATGCTCATTAGAGGAGGGGGAAGCGCTTCCAATTAGGAATTTTTCTATTTTTAAGTCTCGAGCAATAAATTTCTCCTTTTATAAATTTGGTTCCCTTCCTATTTTGTCCACTAAAAAATAATAAAAATACATAAATAAATGGGTGAAAAATTGAGTCAAACTTTTTCTGGCGAAATTTCTTTTCAACCAAATGCCAAGAAAGAATAACTTCTTCAATATAGTTTTTCCATTTTTGCAAAAAAAAAAAAATGTCTGAAAAAAATAAACATTTTTTGCAAAAACTAAAAACTACTTTTAAACAAGAAAAAAACATTTCTTGAATTTTGAACAATACTTCACAAATTCTAAATGCAATTCTTGGTGGGATATTGCACATTTTCATAGATAATATATACACATATAAGCTAATTATTAGTAATAATAATGACATATGAACTAAACTTATCTATTATTTGAACCAATACCTAATAAACTCAAGAACCCTAAAGATTCACATAAAATAACATTAGTTGGTACAAAATTGACCCCATATCCAATACACATTAGTATTGGAATTTTCAACATGTACATTGTTGATTTAACATATATAGAACATTCATGATAGATTAGAAAATTTTGATTATATTGGTCATGTGGTATGAGAATACAGGGAAAAATTGTCATAACCAAATATAGAAAGATTAGGACAAAAGATTCTTCTTGTAAGATTCAAGAACAAGCTAGGGTTACAAAATAGTGTAAGCACAAGTAAATTATTGAGACCTTACAATACTTAAATTGGTTAATTGATGTGTACATTTGTCATTGATGAAAATTAGAGAGGAGGTTGTAAGTCTCTATCACCACCACCACAATTTTTTTCTTTTGATGTTTTTTTTTTTGCCTAATATATTTCTTTCACATCTTAACCTATTTTTCTTGTTTGAATATAAAATCAATTTGTATTGTTTGTTAAAAAAATTCACTTTTCATATTTCTATTCTTTCTCTACCTTAAATTACCATTTTCTTAAAATTGCCATTGTTTAATTTGGAAACAAAAATTTATACTCATCTAACAATTTTTAGATAAGATAATCGTCTCATGCTTCAATATAATATCAGAACAGGTCATGATATTTGAATGTTACAATCGCTTAATATATATAAAAAAAAATAGATCACCACATAAATATCAATTTGTATTGTGTGAGGAGGCATGTATGAGGCACAATTAGTAAATAAAATTGTGTTGTCTCAAATGGCCATACACTTCTTAGGTAAAGGCAGTGAACTCACGAATAAGAGCGGAATGGGTGCAAGGGGTTTATCTGAAATCTCTTTGGTAAAAGATTACGTTGTATATTTAATATTAACTTTTTATGTGTATATATAGTCAATATTGAATTCTCACATTTCTTTGCGTGTTAACTTTTTTTTATTTGAATCACTTAACAAAAATTCTGATCCCGGCACTACTTATGAATATGTGAATTGAAGGAGAAGGTCGACTTTAAAACCTATATAAACATCGCAACATGAAGTTATAATTAAGTGATGTATAACCAATAACAAAAAAGGGTTTAATTTGATGTTATTAAAAAAACAGACTGACTCAACGAGATAGGTATGAATTTATAATTTGTACTTTTGTAGTCACTAACATTCAACTCAATCTCTATTTTTTTAAAAACATTATTAATTTTTTCATTAATTGTAAGGTATTTAATTAGATACTCTAATCTAATTAATAACTAGACATGGAACATTAGGACCCATAGAAAATTGAATAATATTCGAATACAGCAAAGAGTGTCCCTTCCCTCTGTGCCAAAATTGGCCACAAACACATGCAGCCACAAATTAGTTGTTGATTTAACGATTCATCCATTTCTATCGATCAATCAAATCGAGGTATATGCATTCAGTAACTTCGATTTAAATTTTATAATGTCAAAAGAGAAATATTATGAATTTTATAAGGTTTAAAATCTGACTCCGCTTCTGAATAAGGCTATTAGTAATAAATAGTATAGTATTTATATTTGTTATGCTTGTGGTACTTTTCTCTCTTATAGTAATACATCCGATTAACTTGATATACTTTATACTAATTTTTTTTTAATTTCTTTACCATTTACAAATAAGATAACTCTATTTTAATTTTTGTTTTCAAAAATAAATAAATAAAATTAATGGACCATGGATGTGACTCATTCTTTTATATTTTTCGTACCCTTCTTTTTTTTGATAAATATAGAAATGTCGTGGGGAGCTACATGCATGGGATTCCTTTTGCTTTTGTGGTTATTTTTTTACTACAAAGTTTTATATATATATATATATATATATATATATATATATATATATATATATATATATATA